GCATAAGAGCGCTTTAATTACTGAAGTTTGCGGCGGTCCAAACGAGTAAGCTTTTGTTTTGTAGTGTGCTTTTTTTGAAATAATCAGAGCCAAAGCGCTTTCGTACTCATTATTTGTAAGAGGTGCAGGCACCCACAAATTAACCGAAAATTGCAAGTGCCAAGAGAAATCAGCCGCTGGTTAGACTGTTGAGGCTTTCTCTTTCGAAAGTTCCTTAATTTGCTTCTTAAATAATTTTTGAACGATAAACTCACTGACAACCCTTGCTAGCGTGTGATTGCCTCTGGCACAACGCTATCACTTGGGCCATTTTCATGGGCCATAAAAAGTGAAGTATGCAGGAGCTCGATAAAGATGACATATTGCTGTAGGATTTTGTGATGCTGTTCTATGAACTGATGAATTCAGAAAAGCAATATAATTTCGATGCCCCTTGCATTACTCAAGATGGACTTATGGTCCTCCTCAGCTGTTTTCACTCTGCCTCTTAAACTCGGTGACAGGAACCAGAAAATGTTGGACTCGAAAAATATCTTGCCATTCATACTGCTTCAGAGCGCCGCCGTCTTCAAAAGAGAACGAGTACGGATTCTGGAGAACAGGAGGGAGGGGGGAATGGATGCTTTTAAAATAGATCGAGTTGTAGTCAGCTGAATAAGACGAGTTTTTTTTTTTGACATCTTTATGGGTGCTATCGTTGTGCTTTTCAGTACATCTACCCCGCTGCTGGCGATGATGAAGGACCAGTTCGCCAATTACGTTGTACAAAAAATGCTGGATGTAGCGGATAGCGCGCATCGTAAGAAAATGATGCTTGCCATCAAGCCACATATCCCAGCACTACGGAAGTACAACTACGGCAAGCATATCATAAGTACGTCCATAAGTTTGGTTTTTGGAATCGAGGATGTACATGATCACTCATAGGAAGCTGTGGCAGTCTTTATTAGTGTCCGCTTGTAACTCTAGGAATCGTTATCACTGGAAATCCTGGCAATTGATGAAGTGAAGTGGGCACCTCTGTGGACCGTTTCCGAACCACTTCACCGCTACAGTTCTTTGACCCCCACCTGGCGACTGGGCTAGGCAAAAGGGATTGAAATTTTCACTTAAAATGTAATATTCAACAGTGGAATTGGAAAATACAAAAAAAATCGCATTCAGAATCTCGCACTGGTAAAACTCTGTGTAAATTGGCATCCTGATGTGATGCCTTGGGAAAACAGTAGTCAGTGGTAGGTTTTTGGCTTTAAAAACTAGCCATACCGAAGGATTTTAATAACCTTTTTGGTTGCACTGGAAGAACGGTGTGAATGAGGCTGAAATGTAATAAAAGTTGGTTGCTTTCGGGAACTGCTGATACGAGATAGTCAAAAAATATGACCAACCAGAACTGAAATTTGACTGAGTTAGAAAATACTGATATGACTGATTTGAAGTTCACATGTAGGTAAAAGTTGTTTGGCTTGGAGAAGTACTGGTGTGTGTGTGTGTGTGTGTGTGTGTGTGTGTGTGTGTGTGTGTGTGTGTGTGT